GGAAGACCCGATTGCCATTATCAGTGATGGAACACATAAGTAAGGCACAATCCAATGTTATATAAGCATCATTGATGAATAATCAATCATTAAGATTAATCTCTCCAGGGTCCACACCTTGTTTCCTACGAAGACCCAGTGACTATTTCAAGTTACAACTAGGGAATAACATCCCGTACACTTCTAATAAAACCAAATTCTATGTTTGTGGATCTATGGCATTCTATTCATATTTATATATCTTTATAGATATATCAAACCTCATTCAATATATAAAAATTCGAACCACAAAGGTGGTGCCTGATTGGTTTGAACTTGGCTCCGAAGGTCAAAGGTATCTGGAGGTCCCATGTTCAAATCCAAGGAGGAATAAAAATCCCTTTGTGGCCATGGAGGTTCAAATGCGGTGACTCCGGGCTATCTGAAAAGCAAGTGGTCGTCCTGTGATTAGTCGGCTTGCATAGCGGGTTGGATATTCAGGTTAATCAACAAAAAAAATTGTTTACAAATTAACCATCAAGTGGGTAAAATTCCCATTTTATTAAGAAGATCCCAAAGTATGAACATTATAGTTTAAGTTCCAAGATTCATACAGACTTGAAAATAATCATCTCCCGTGTATTTAAAATCATTTCCCATACTTGTTTTATCAACAGATATAAAATTCCCAAAACTCCCGACTTTGGCTTAGTTGGTCCAAAAGCAACCAAATGTGAAATATATGAAATGGAAACTTAGAGGAAGTAAAACACATCAATTTAACATGTATATGGTTTTATAAAAGTACAGGATGAATCACAATACTAGGTTTTAGTGAAAACCTAGAAAATTAAGAAAACCCTTGAAGATGATAAATTAGATCTTGAGTTCTAGCTTAAACTCCTGGCTTGGATGATTAATAAACCTCTTACATTGGTTGGAGAAGTGGAATAAATGCTCTAGAAGTTGAATTTAATGAGGAGAGAAAGGAGGAATTCGAGTGAGAAAAGTGTAGGTGAATGAAATAAGGAAAACCCCTTTTTCGGCCCCCTTTAAGTGCAGACCGGACATCCACGCAACCTGGCCTTCGTCTCCAAGTCAGGCCACAGGTCGCGCGTGCTTAGGGAGCATCTTGTCAGTAAGATACGGAACTTTCAGCGTGACTTGAGGTCGCGGGGTACTAAATCTCACCCAGATCAATCGATTTCTCCTAGATTTCTCGTGAGGCTTTTTACCAAAACTTAACCAACAAAATTACTTTTAAGAACAAAGGATCGAGATTGAATCCCATGGTTTAGTATCAAAGAAAATTGGATAAAAATATGGGTGTTATACACAAACATTTCTTCTCGATGTCAACCCTAAACAAAGAAACTCAAAAGAGCGTGTGAACGATTTTTTTGCACACACGATAAAGAGAACACCATGATCGCATATGGTTGCAGTAGGCCAAAAACAATGACCTAAGGCAGCATATCACGATAGCATAATAGAAATAGAGGAAGAGACTATGGTGGTTGAAACAGCTAACGAAAACGGTGGTCCGAGGAGAAGAGCAAGACATAATGGTGAGAGGGGACGGTGAGGATAAGAAGGGGATGAGGATGACGAAGCACCACATAATGATGTTTCACTGTAATACACATCCACCAGGGGATTATGAACGTTACATTATTGTGACACACGTATTTTATGAACTTCGTCCTCTATAATGACAGACACTTGGTGATCAGATATCAGTTTCTTTCTTTCATGTCGTTGTTCCAATCCGCTCAAGATCATAAACTCTTGATATTGGTTTTGGATGTCTTCAATGTCAAACTAACTGACTGTTTGGAATGAGCCCAGGATATTGAATCAATTAATGATCTTCTGGTATCATATTAGAGAGAAAACTGTGTTGATCGCATTTGCCAATAATTAAAGATAAACATTAAAATAAAAATAACTGATTTGTTGCGTTGTTATTTAATTTAGACAATTAGTAAAACACCCGTGATAAATTAATTAAAAAAATATTAATCACTTAATGATTTGTGCAGGTTAGGCCTCACGGTTTTCACAATATTTGAAATTATCGTTTGATTAAGCCCTTATTATATATCATAATTATATTTAATTTTTAAGAGCAAAATAGGAAATTGGTAGATTGACCAAAATACCCTTGTGTTAATGGACCGGGAATTAACATGGTTTGGAAAATGGACCTAGCTCCAAATGAAAAGCAAACCATCAAACACTCAATATAATTATTTTAAAATAAACACGGGATCCAGATTTTGAGTAAGACACGTGGACCTAGAGTGTAATCTATACTATATTATGTAATATTTGACAAAAACTCTTAAAAACTATTTTTTATGTATGAAGTATTGTTTATTGATGTATATTATTTAAAATTCAAGATTACAAGTAAATTGTGCATAAGTACAACTTATTAAAGCTCTATGTTTGAATTCGTGTAACTAACTGCAGATAAACATAATCAAATACAAGATACACATCTCATTTCAAAGTATAAAAAATCTAAAACATAATTAGGATAATTATTGAGTTCTAACATAATACTTAATTATTATTTTTATAAAAAAAATTATATTATTAGACGACCTAAATTAAGTTACTTCGTTACGTTAAATAAAATTATAATAAAAAAATTGAATTAAAAAAATACACAAACAAAAACTTTTAAATAGTTAATTTGATACTAATATTGATATATTTTTTACAAACTTTACATGATATTTTCAATTTTATATTTTATTCAAAAATAAAAACATTATTGTTTCTAAAAACCACATAAAATCGTATTATATCGACATAGATAAAAAAAATAAAACGAAACATTAAAAATGAAAATGTGGCTCTATGCATTGCACAAGTACTCTTCTAGTTTACTCTTAAAGATAATGTCCACCCCAAAATATTGATCTGATGTTTCTAAGTGTTTTATAATACTTTTATGTAATATATTTTTTTAAAGGCAAAGATGACATCAAAAAACAAAAAAAAAAACTGCAACAGTCTTATTGAGGAATCTACGAAGAAAATATATCAAAAGGGGAAACAAGCAAAGTCCAACACGAAACAAACGAATGGCTGAAAAAGAGGAAACAACAACGGAACATCAAAAAGCAGTATAAAAGGGAACTCAAACCACATTGTCTTCCAAATAGATTTATCTTTGAGCCTAAAAGCAATCCAATTGAAGGATTGGAATCAGATATCAGCAAAGAGATCACTCAGAGGATTTACCCCCTTAAAGAAACAAGCATTCCTGGATTTCGAAAGAGAATAAGCCGTTATCCAAAAATCGTTTGTCGCACAGCCTTCAACGATCCCACAATTTGCCTCTCGCCATTAATAACCCTGAGACGAAGTTGATAGAATGTAGTTGATATTCCATGATTTTAAAATACAATTACATAACAACGAGATCATCTTGTTGTTAAGTAAATAATGATTCATTATGCATTCAACATGATCTCTACAAAACGAACAAACATATCAAAAATAATTATTTAATAATATGTTGAGTTGTTTGGTGTTTATTAAAAAAACATTTGCATAAAAATCAGAATAATAATAGTGGTTTCGTTGTTATTATTAATATATCTTTATATTATATATTGTTCAAGTAGGATTTAATATAATTAATAGATAAAATTTGGGATCACTAGAGACCAGTTTGTTTTCTTGAAACCATTTTTTTACACTTGAAATTTCACAACAAAACATAATCTTAAGAAAACAGACTGGTTTCATGTGAACTCAACTCTTAATAAATATGCACCTAAGAAATTGATGGGTTAAAATAATTATTAATTATTAATAGGTTATAAAAGGGATGCAAATAGCAAGTGGATACAAATAATAACACTAAAAATTTAATGTAATGTTGATTTAGGGGTGTAAATGATACGAGTCGAGCTCGAGTATCATTATACTCGACTCGAACTCAAAACTCAATTTCCAAGCTCGAACTCGACTCGAAAACTCGCGAGTAATAAAAATTAAAACTCGACTAGAACTCGATAATTATTCTCAAGCTCGAACTCGAACTCAAATCAAGCTCGAACTCGAGCTCGAATCAAGCTCAAACTCAAATAAAACTCGAACCAAGCTCACATGAAATTTTAGAGTTTTCTCTTATAAATTTTAAAACTTAAAGGTGTTCTCTTAGTTTTTTTTATAAAACTAAATGATCAACTTTAAACTTTATCATAAAAAAAAGTTAGAAATTTTATTCGCATCCCTATTTTTTATAACATTTTTTCTTCATTCCCTTAACATTTCTGTTCCAACATGGGACAATTTCACTAACTTTTTTTATAGTTTTTCTTCATCTTTTTTTTTTATTGTGATTTTTAAAAAAATGAAGTTTTATAATTAAATAATGCATAATTTTGTTTAAATATCTAAAAATATAAGACATTTTTATTATTTATGTATTACAAATTTTATCATAAAAACTGATTATATTTTAAAACTAATTATATATAAAATAATCGAGTATCTCGCGAGTTTTTCGTGTTGAGTATTTGGTAGCTTGACTCAACTCGTTAATATATCAAGTCAAGTTCAAGTTCGAGTCAAGCCTATTCGAGTCGAGTGTTAACCAAGTTTTAACCGAATCAACACAGATAGCTCGCAAGTTGTCTCGTATCATTTATACCCTTATGTTGATTGATATATTTAATTCGTGAATTCAATATATCGCATGAAAATTACAACAGTTACATTTTTAAAATCACTTCGTTCCATCTCTTATGTATTGGTTTGGGCAAAATCGTAAACAAATGTAACATGTTTTATTTTGATTTTTATCTGGTAAATTATATTTTTTTTTAGCATTCACAATGAATGCTTTTGGAAAACCCTGCAATTACGAGTTCAAACTAAAAGAGAATTCACTTGTGAATAATAAAGTCCAACCATCATGAAAAAACGATATTGAGAGAAAAGTAAGGCATATGGCAGGGAAATTTATAGCAGCACAAACGAAATATCAAAATTCAAGGTATGAAATTGCAACGATGATTTGTTCATACAATAAACTGCCATACATTCAGATTATAAACCCTAAAAACAGATTTGATTTTATCGAAATGAAACCCTAACCCTAAGCTCTTTCACCACGAATCCTACGAGCCAGCTGCATATCCTTGGGCATGATCGTAACTCTCTTGGCATGAATCGCACACAGATTAGTGTCTTCAAAAAGTCCGACCAAGTAAGCTTCAGCCGCCTCCTGGAGAGCAGCCACGGCGGAGCTCTGGAATCGCAGATCGGTTTTGAAATCCTGAGCGATTTCCCTCACAAGCCTTTGAAACGGAAGTTTCCTGATCAACAATTCGGTACTCTTCTGGTACTTTCTGATTTCCCTCAGGGCAACGGTTCCTGGCCTGAATCTGTGGGGTTTCTTCACTCCGCCGGTGGCCGGAGCAGACTTCCTTGCCGCCTTGGTGGCCAATTGCTTCCTCGGAGCCTTTCCTCCGGTTGATTTCCTTGCAGTTTGCTTAGTACGAGCCATTTAGAGCAGGGAATTAGAGAGAGATGAGATGAAATGTTTAGAGAGATTTTGATGGTGGATAACAATGGTGGTTCTTTGGGTTTATATTGGCGAAATTTTACGTGAGCGGGAAATTCTGAATTTTTTGGGTTTCAAGGGGTTTTTGCCGAGATAGGGTGATCCGTTGGATCAAGTGATATCGGACGGACAATTAACAAATTGACGTGGATCGTAATCCGTGTGCGATCTTTTCACCAATATATGAATTTGGTCCCCCTGGTTTGGTGATTATTTTATAATTGATTCCTAAACTTTATTTATTAGAGAAACTCCTCTGAGTATTTGGTTTAATGGAATGATTTTCAAGTATTTGAATTTTGTGGAAAATTTTGGAATTTGAGGGATTTGTTTTGAAAGGATTTAAAATCTTTAACGTGTTTGGTTTGATGAATTTGGAATAAAAAGGAATTCCATTTTTTATAAATAATATAAATTACCTTTTATTAATAAATTATTAGAAAATAAAGTGTTCAACATATTTTAAAACATTATTATATACAAATCCTACGAAATCCCGAAATCCTATGTTTGAGGTATTTCAACAAAATTCATCAAAGAAATTTGACTTTGAAGAAATTTGAATGTAATTTGACCACGCATTTGGTAGGAATTGGAATGAAATCTCAATAAAATTGGAACAATCGTCTTTGTTTGGACTATCTCGCCCATCACCATTCCCAAACCCTACCAACCACCATATCACTACTTCGTCGTCATCACTACCCAAACCCCGCCCCACACGTACCCCAACCCTGCCCACCATTCCTGCCCCACCCCTACTCCATAGGTGGGGGTTGTTGGGGGCAGGCAGTGTGGGGCAAAGCGGTGGGGAAAGGGCCAAAGTGGGGCAGTAGGTGGCAGGGTGGTGGTTATGACGACTACAGTGGTAGGATGGTGGTTGGAGTAGGGTGGGGTGGGGTTGAGTGACAGTTGTTACAACGACAATAATGGTGTGGTGGGTGGAGGGGTTAGGTTAGGGGCGTGACAGTAGTAGTAKTAGCATGTGTTGTAGTAGGGATGTGCATTAAGTGAACGAGGGTAGGTGGGTGTGATAACAACAGTAGTGGCATGGTGGTTAATGGTGGGGTAGAGTGGATAGGTGGGGTTAGGGCATGACGAACAATAGTAGCACGGGCATGGTTGGTGGTAATGGAATTCAATTCAATTTGTGGATTCAATGAAATTTGAAGGATTCCATCCATTTCAAGAAATGAACCAAACGAATGAATTGAAATTTAGTCAAAGGAATTTGTCATTCCAATTCCATCAAATTCTTTTGAATTCAGCAACGCATATTCTGAAGGAATCTGATGGAATTGGAATGTTAAATTTCATTGATCAAATGTTATTCTCTCATTTGGTTCATTCTTTTTCACGAAATGAATCTTAAAAATCTTACAAATTCCACAAATAAAAGAATTTAACATTCTTTAGCAACTACATGGTATTTTGATGGAATAAAATTTTCTATTTTCATAATACCAAATATGTCATTAACCCAATATACCCTAGTCTCATAAAACCTAATATGACCATCGTCGACTACCGTCAATCTGAATCGTCGTCGATCACCATCAACCACCACCACCAATTTGAACTACCGCTGACCACCACTGATCTGAACCATCGCTGATCTGAACAACCGCCGACCACTACCGATCTGAACCACCATCGGCTACTGCCGATCTGATCTATCGTCGATCTGAACCACTGCCATCTGAACCACCATGGACCACCACCGATCTAAAAAATTGTTGACCATCTCCATCTGAACCACAACGGACCACCATCGATCTGAACTACCGTAAACTACTACCAATCTGAATCACTGCCGGCTACCAACGATCTGAACCACCGCCGACCATCACCGATCTAATCCACCCCCGATCTGAACCATCGCCGATCTGAGCCACCGTCGATCTTAACCACATCCGACCATCACCATTTGAAGCACCACGGACCACCACTGATCTGAACCACTACCGACCACTGTTGACTACCACCGATCTGAATCACCGCCAAACACCACCGACCACCAACGATTTAAACAACCACTGATCTGAACCACCACCTCCACCAGCGATCTGAACCACTGTTCATCTGAGCCATCGTTGACCAAATCCATCTAAACCATCGCGATCCATCACCATATGGAGCCACAGTGGACCACCACCAATCTGAACCGTCGTGGACCACCACCGACCACCGTTAATTTAATAACGTCGTTTAGCTTATGATTATATATGGGTTTTGTAATTACTATTGTTTTACATGTTAAATAATTATTTTATTAAAGTATTTTTAGTTTTAAAAAAAATTAAAATTTTAAAAAGAAGATTTTGATCATTTACCAATATTTCATTCTAATTCCAAAGCTACATTATGTGAACCAAACAGACATATCACAATTCCTTAACAGATTCCATTACAATGCCTGTCAACCAAACATGTGGTCAAACCTGACAACATTCCATTTCAGTTTCTTCAAAGCCAAATTCTTTTAACAGATTTTATTTCATCCAAAAACATTTTGCGAACCAAATATCACATAAGATTTCAAATCCAGAAAATCCTGCATACCAAACACTGATTGGAATGAATTTGAAATCCAAACCCATCCAATTTCATTTCATTCATTCAAACCAAACAGATTCTGAAGGTTTGTAGTTTTGATTTTGTTCACTCACCCTAGAGATCATCGATCTTTGATTACAAAGCCAAAATAGTCATTTTACCTTTTTTTTTAAATATATTTTTTTATTTTTTTAACTTGTCTTTTTCACCATCAATAACATAAACAAACCCTAAATCAAAAGGTTAAATCTAGCCCAAACATTTCGTTTGAGTATGGCCACTTATTCAGAACAAACACATAGAAGAGCAATATGTAGAGTAGCCCATGACCTATTTCCTAACTTTTTGGTTTTTGAGAGCTATAACTGTAAGTCGGTAATAAAAAACCATGTGAATTTAACATTTCCACCACCTCACTAAAGTGGTCCTCTCAAATAGGGCGATGGAGAAAGAGATAAAGAGAGAGCACCAAATAGAGATTAGAGATAAGCTCGTCAACATTACTCCTCTGACATCCACCATTGACCTATCGCCTTCACCTCAGACGTTAACTATTGAGGGTTGATTTTGGACACCGTTATCAAAACCATCGGCAATTGGAGCCCATCAGCAACGTTGAGAGAGCTTAGTCGCTCCAAACCAAAACCCATTTCGTCCCTACATATGGTAGTTATCCACTCCATACACAGGGGTGGCGCCACGGTTCCACCATAGATTATTAGTTACATTTTTTCACTAAATTTCACGTTAACTTAATATTACTTTTTTGTTTTGGAATAATTAGGGTAATTTTTGGGAAATTGACCAAAATAATCATTTTATCCTGTTCATTAGCTACTTCCATGTATTATGTATTGAAAAAATATGCACCAATTAGCCTCTTCCGTTTCTTAAATATTGAAAATACTGCACCAAGTTACATTGTTACTAAGGATCCCATTTAGTTGCATATTTTTAAATGACTCCTCCGTGAGTTGCAGTAAATGACATTTTCGAAGGTGTTGATAAAGTGGTAAAGGATATATATATATATATATATATATATATATATATATATATATATTTATGGCTATTTTTATATAAATACAATGTCTTTTTTGTAGAATTTTACTATTTAAAACAATCCCATAATTTTCATTTCTTCTTCTCCAGTGATACACTTTTGTAAGGAAGGTTTCAATTTGTAGTTATTACAAAATATTTATGATTGTGATTCATATTTCACAATACTGTTTACATTAAGCACAAAAGGGCTAATGACTGAGGCTCAGATTAAAGGAACAGAGACATATGGACCAGACATCTAATTAAGGACTGGAATTGTCAAAGTCTGGTCAAAACTTTTTCTTAACCAATCCAAAGTTTTCAGAACCGACATGGTCAAAAGTGATTGTACTCGTAGTGTGGTGTTATGACCCTACTCACAGTGGAGTGTTGCGAGACTACTTGTATTGTAGGTCGCACATAAACACAAAAAAGAAATCCAACCAATACCTTTAGGTTGCGGCCTAAGTCGCCTAATGAGTAATATTACTTTGTCTTAGTTCTTTTTTTATAATGTTACATTATTGATATCAAAATATATGCAAAACAATTAAATATTATAAAAAAAGCATATCAAATTAAATATTGTAACTTTTGATCGATCATAAAAAAATATTTTAAAAAATTTAAGATAATAATTTCACATAAAATATAAATTAATTTTTTAACAGATTTTATGGGATGTTGAAGTATTTATGAATATATTTATTGGGGTATGACACATGATACAAAATAAATCTTATAAAATATTTATTGTATAGTATTTAATAGATAAATATAATGTTTTTCTCAATATAAAAAAATCTCGAGCTACTCAGATCTATTCACACCCCTGATGAGTGGTGTATGAATGAAAAGGATATAAAATATAAGGGGGAGTTTGGTTTGTAAAGTGATTTTAGATAAAATGAAATCTGTTAAAAGAATTTGATTTTGATTGAAGTGAAATGTTATCAAGTTTGATCACCTATTTGATTGACAAATAGTGGAATAAAATCTGTTAAAGGAATTGAAATATGTTTGTTTGGTTCACATATGTAGCTTTGGAATTGAGATCTGTCTATCTGGTTCACATATTGTAGCTTTGGAATTGAATGCAATATTAGTAAATGACCAAAATATCTTTTTATGAAAAAAATTTAATCCAAAATCCAACTACTTTGGTTCAGATCGGTGGTGGTTCATAACGTGGTCCAGATTGGTGGTGGTTCATAACAGTGGTCCAGATTGGTGGTGGTCGGTTGTGGTTTAGAATGATGGTGATCGAAGGTGGTTCAGATCAGCGGTGGTCGGTTGTGGTTCAGAACGATGGTGGTCGACGGTGGTTCAGATCGGTGGTGGTCGGTGGTGATTCAGAACAATGGTTCAGAGCGGTGGTGGTCGACGGTTCAAATCGGTGGTGGTCGGTGGTGATTCAGAACAGTGGTTCAAAGATGTGGTTTAGAACTGTGGTGGTCGATCGATAGTGGTTTAGAACTGTGGTGGTTCGGATCGATGGTGATTCAAAATATCGATTCAGAATGATGGTGTTTGGTGGTGGTTGGCGGCGGCAATTCAGAACGGTGGTGGTCGACAGTGGTTCAAATCAAGCAGGGAAGATGAGAATAGTGGTCTTCTGAGAAATGGGATTGAATGAATTGAATCTTTTCTCGATTTTGATGGAATGACCAAATCCACGGATGGTGGAATGTATGGAGTTCAATTTCATTTCATAGGTAAACCAAACATTTGGATGAAATTTGATCAATAGAATTTATCATTCCAATTCCTGTTGAATTCCATCAAAATTGTGCGAACCAAATGCACCGTAAGTGGTTTGAGTGATGAGATAGAAAATGTGAGAGAGATATGAGTAAGGCGACATGAAATAACGACCCCGGCCGGTTGGTTGTATTGAGTGTTCATAGATGTTTACGACTTTAAAATGATCAGATGACATTAAATAACGAGAACCAGATAATGAATTTATCTCAATTTTTTATTTGGTTGATGGTTTTTTTAAATATATCTCATTTTCTGTTCTTTTAATTTAAAAATACACCAATTCATCTTATGATAATTTTATATATGCTAAAACCAATTAATCTAGAAGGAAATATATAAAGTAAATAATAGTATAATTTGCTATTCGATTTACTGATATGATAAAAAAATGATCGAAACCGAACTTATCTTATTTGGTTAACCGAACTGTTTAACCAACAAAACAAATAACCCAATATCGTTTTGGTTTGTGTGAATTATTAGGTTTCAGATACTTTTATACCCTTAGCCCCTCACTCTTCTAAGTTTTTAGGTCCATCATTGCCCCTACTAAATGCATTTCATTTATACTAAAAAGGGTATTTGTACAATGCATCGAGACACATTTTGATAATAGTGTTTCGTTTTATTTCTTTTTTATGTCGATATAATATAGTTTTATGTGGGTTTTGAGAAAAACGATAATGTTTTTATTTTTGAATAAAATATAAATTTAAAAATATCATAAAATTTTGAAAAAAAATTATATCGATATCAGTATCAAATTAATCTTTTCAAAAATTCTTGTGTTTTGGTGTAATTTCCTTAATTCAATTTTTTTTAATTATAATTTAATTTAGTTTTACTAATATAATTTTTTGTAACGATAATAACCAAGTATTTTAATAGAACTTATTGATTATCCTAATTATATTTTAGATTTTTTATATTTAAAATGAGATGTTTATCCAATATTTGATTATGTTTATTTGCAGTTAGTTACACGAATTCAAATATGGAGCTTTAATAAGTTGTACTTATTCAAAATTTACTTGTAATCTTAAATTTTAAGTAATATGCATCAATAAACAGTACTTCGTGCATAAAAAATAGTTTTTAAAAGTTTTTGTCAAATGCTTTATAATATAGCATAGATTTCAACTTCTTACTACCCGTTCGCTACAACCTTTAGATTACGAGTTCAAATCTTTCCGAAACATATGAAATATATTTCTCCTCACAATAATCGCCATTACGCAATTGGAACAAAACGACCCTTTTCATCGGGTGTCGAAACTTCAAGAACTCGACCACTAGTTTCTTCGGTGATAGCGTGCGGACTCGAGAACGGCACAATCTCATCTTGATCATCATCGACCATCGAGTCCAAAGACATGGTCGATGATGTTGTCGGAAGGAGGGTGAAAGTAGAATCGTGCTGGTGTTTCGCCTTCACCCTCCTCCGCCATGTGTGCAATGACTCTCTTACGTTTTCCGACACTATGGTTTTCTTGAACCGAGAGCCCATCTGCAACATTACATAAAATATCAAAAAACATGAATGCATTTTGCTCGAATAAAATCAGAAACATGATGGGTGGTTTGATCATGCCTGAGTAACAATGACATAGAGAGGAAATGTGATGAAACTACACCAAAATTGTGATAGAATCCTGCAAACAATGAGATGGATGTGAAAACCCAAGATTTATTTGGGAAATTTATTATCGAAACCGAGCTTTCTGTATCGGAAATTTACCCAAACGTCAAGCGAATCACAAGAACACGATGGTTTTTTGTAAAACAAGAAGTTCCGTTCACCTCCCACTGTCAATCAAATAGAGAATCGAGAGGTTCTTAATAATAATAAGACGGATGATCACATCTTTATTCTTTTCGATGTTGCAATACGGAACTCCATCAGATTACTCTCCAAAAGAGCCCTTGAGGAGAGAAGGGGAGTCCAGCATATATTGAAAAGAAACTGTCCAAGTCCGATTTTGTAGTGTCTAGCCGATACGAGACTATAACAGTATCATATAAACGGGCCCACAAAACGAAAATGTAGGAAAAAGGTCGTACCAGAGACCAAAGACATGTAGCCATTTCAAAAGCGTTCTGCAATCAAGCGTTAGCTACGGAAATTTGAGCGAAAAAGATACGAAATCTTAAAAGATTTTTATTTGCTTCAATCACCTGGAAAGATATGAACTGTATCAATCTCAACAAAAGCCTCGGCCTTCCGAACCAGAAAAGCTCATCCCTCAAGTTAATCTGTTGGATTTCCGACCTTTGGCTTTGACTCTGGCTCGTGTTCTTGGTTTCAACGGCCAGTTTTATTACTATCCGATGCAATTTAGTACCAACAAGGACGACGAACTTTTGTTCATTTTTTTGTAAGTTTCAAACAAGAAAAAATTGTAAGAAAAGAGCGTATTTTCGGGTGCAAGTAAAATGAGAAAGGTTTAGTGAACGAGTATTTACGATTATTGGTAGGAACGACAGCCAGAAGTAGATGTATGTACCTGCAAAAGATCAATGTGGCTTCACTTAACGAAACTAGATACGTTTAGAGTAAAGAAAATGCCGTTTTCGTAATAATATTACCATGAAAACCAAGAAAAATGCATAAAATGGCGAAAATCCAGAGAGGGATGCTGCAAATCGAAGAAAACGATGTCATACATTTTGCCAAGAAAGAATCGATCTAACACAAAGATTTACAAAACAAAATACGCTAACAGGACACTTATCAAAAGTATCATATAAAAAAGCTAATAGGACACTTTATTTCAAAAGGGTCTTAAAAAACTTGTTAGGACGTTCAAAAACATTCTATCAATTTATTGCAACGCTTTCACATATGACACACAATTGGTTGGTCATATAAAGCAGTTTATTAGGACATTTAGATACATTTGACGTCCTGTAAAGCCGATTTTGTTGCAGTGAGAGTGCAAGATAGGTAATTGTATACCTTATCCCAACAATATCTCGAAACTCTTCCTCCATGCTCCGAAGCATATAGTTATGAAAGTCGTACGATAGTGGTAGCTTATGAGTCTGCATCAACAAGTTCATGGAAACATATAAGCCTATGGAAAAGACAAAAACGCCCATTATTCACCGTTAAGCATGCTCAAATTCCATCTGGATGTTACTTGTAACTCGAGAATTTTAAGGAAAATTGCAATAATCTCTTACTGTAATGAATCCCAATCTCAAAGCTCGGTAATCTGCTCTATTTATGGAACTCCAAATTTGTCGGCTGAAACAAAGCTGAATAGAGAAACCAACGGTAAAACTTTCCATAAGTGGAAAGACATTGATCGCTTGTATCCAAGAAAGATAGTTTTATTAGTGTAAATCTTTGAACTTTAACCGGAAGGCGCATGCTTTAGATATGCCGTTAATAGAACTGCAGCGGAAGTTCATATGAGAACCATAAATATTTTGAGAACCTAAGAATATTTTCATGTTTTATTCATTATGAATAACCATGAATAATCAACTATTTCATGTATTATTCATGATGAATAACCCTGAATGATCAACTACTTCATGTATTATTCATGATGAATAACCATGATCATGCATTTTCATAGTTCATGATATTATGCATTTTGATCATGTATATCCATCACGACATTCATCATGAATAGTTGGTTCCCAGGTTCTCAAAGTACTTACGATTATCATTTGAACTTGCCCCTGGAACGGTAATATGAAATCACATTCTATCTTAACCGGAGAGATTACCAGCCAAACGAGGATATTGTGCTGGCTCCATGGATGAGCAGTGTTGTGATAAATAAAAGTAGATAATCTTCTCATTCCTACTGCTTCCACGGATCAATATTTATAAAAATAATCGTTAAATATCAAAAATTCAAACAACGAGCCGAACAAAAAGCAGATCAAATAATCAAAAAAGGGATTGTTCACCTTGTGGTTCAGGAGTAGCCATGGCCTTGGCTTGGTTTTCCCAAATTCTCCAGCTGTAGATCTGATGGGTGAGAAAATAACGTTTTCAGACAAAAGATGAAGAAAACCGCTCTACTATTTGGGATAGAGGTCAAGTCTGCATACATCTTACCCTGCCCGGACCCCACCTACAGGTGAGATATATTGGGTTCATTTGGTTTGGTTTTTTAGACAAAAGACGAAGAAAAATATCAAATATATCCTCTCGAAAAAGATGATGTGAACCTTGATCATGGCAAGGGCGATCGCAAAGAAGCTGTAAAATACGTGTGTTACACCCAAAGCGAACAAGAAACGGTGAAGCTGCTCAAGACTTTCCTTCGAAGCAAACGACGAACTACCCTGGATAAATGGTGGTGTATATATATATCAGGGATCAGCATTGTCTACTAGAATTCAAGAAATGGTCAAAATTCAAATGTATATGCAGTCTCTGATTACTGATGCTGGATCATAGTTTCAATATCCAGATCACTATGTATGTGTGTGTATACATATATATATATATATATATATATGTGTGTGTGTGTGTGTGTGTGTGTGTGTGTAATATTGTAATAGGGACATAATCAAATGAGAACCACAAAAAGGTTGAGAACCGTGAGAACCATTGATCATGCATGGTTTCATATTGTGAAACAATGCATGTGAAAGTACAGTGTTGTTTCACAAAAAGTACATATTAAAAATAATCATTTTGTGAAACAACACTGCATTTTTCATATGCATTTCTTGACAATGTGAAACAACACATGATTAATGGTTCTCATGCTTCTCAATCTTTTTGTCGTTCTGATTTGATTATTCCCCACTATATATATATATATATATATATATAGGGGAAACTCTAAAAAAATTTAAGACCCGTAAGAACCAACTAAACTATATTCAAGTTATCAACTGCAAAGATTCTCAAACGGTTTCGCAGACATTATCAATGTAAAAAGGCCAAACACAATGGACAAAGAGTGCATCATCCAAAATCAACTTTTTCTTTTTGGATGTCCCAAAAAAGAACACCCGAGGGTGTGCATTTTTGTTGGCCGTCCACTAGCAAAGCAATTTACAAATAGCCAAGCTTCGTGACAACTACAATCGACTTTATTATCTACTTTATCTTATTGATGGCAAGCACTATTTAGGAAAGCACACTCCATCACACTGATACAATAACTAAAAACCCCTTTGGTTGTTCTAACTTCTACTATTTGGGGTAGATGACAGATCTGCGACCCATTCCCAAGTGGATTTACTGGGCTCGGTTGGTTTGATTTTGGTAAAAACTAAAACCCCTTTTGACTAGAAGTGTTAGGACTACTAATAAATTGTTTAAAGTATCCTTTAGTAATAAAAGAAAAGGGAGGATCTTGTGAACCAACGTTTTCAGGGTAACCATGTTACCGCGCAGGCGACCACAAACGGCCTAGAGTCATCACAGGGTTTTGGCAGTGGCTGGATTCAAAATCGGGGAAGATCCAGAAGATGATATTTCTTTCCACTATATCCCCCCAAGCCTTAACCGGTGCGCCACAACCCAAGTGGTTACTTGTGGACCAACTTGTAACAATGGCAAACGCTGCAACTACACCTAGGACTCGAGAAATGGTCAAACGGAACTCTAGTTTCTTTTAACAGTGTATAACAGAAACATATAAAAATCAAACAAGCGAGTAATTCTAGTTAATAAAGATTAAAGTGGAACTAGAAGGGGAGGAACTGCGGACCTCAGGACAGATTTCGCTGTTTTTATGGCCCAAAAGCTGTCTGGAAACCGAGGAATTCGAATAAGTATGGAAAGGTATTTGATGATGAAGTGGGTCTATGTAACTTTTCTCAACTGAACATGGGTAAAACCGGCTACTAATTGCCGATGATTTAACACAAATCTTGGCAGCATAGATGATCCAATGACCCATCAGCAATGAAAGAACAGCAAACAGCATTAGTTCTGCTCACAAACAGACCCAAAGTGAATAGAATCATAAGCAACAATTGTTCAGTTAAATAAGAATCATAAGCAACAATTTACAGATCTTTAAATTCAAGAAAAAATGGCTATTATTTCATAGTTTTTACCTTCTTTGATCTTATCTAGAGCAGCAATAAGGGCTTTCCTCTTTGTTCTATACAGCCACTGTGTGTGGGAAAGACAAAAACTATTCAATATTGTAGAAAAAATGAGCAGATTTGAACACATAAATAAGATAACAATTAAAGAAACGTTTCAAAAATTTAAAAGTTTTACCTTCTCAGTGTGTCTAAGAGCAGCATTGATGAAGAACCCAACAAGAACCATGACTGATACAACACTAGCAACAGCCCATGTTGGTGTTTCCACCAATGATTTCCCTTCTTCTACCTCCATTTTCATCAAAATCGACCAAAAACTATGCAAAAATCTTCAGAATCTTGCCCTTTTCATGTGCAAGAACTCAATCCTTTTGTGAAATTTCAAGATTTTGGTTCTGGGGTTTTGTTATTTGCTATCAAAATCGAACAAAAACTATGCAAAAATCTTCAGAATCTTTCCCCTTTCAAATGCAAGAACTCAGTGATATTTGAAGCTTTTGATTCTGGGTTTTTGCTATTTGCTACCAAAAACTATGCAAAAATTCTCAAAATCTTGCCCCTTTCATGTGCAAGAACTAAACCCTTTTGTGAAATTTCAAGATTTTGGTTGTGGGTTTTGCTATTTGCAATCAAAGAAAGCATCAAATTGGGATTGTTTGATGAACTTGGGAAGGATCAAGATGGAAAGGAAGAAATCCAGATGATTTTGATCCATCTTTGAGTTTATATATCTTGGGAGTTCTAAGTGTAGCATTGAAGGGAGTTTTGGGCCATTGATGGCTACAAATTATTAAATGGTTTAAAGGGAGTTAGGAAACATATTTGCATGGATGGCAGTATATATGGTTGGACATATGGATGCAACACTATTTGTTGCCATTAATTTGTGTTTTTAAATTGTGTACATTTAGGGCATATGGGCTCCATTTTATTATTTTATTGTTCTTGAGATGTGGGGTTAGATTGGAGATGGCTTCTGAGGGTTTTTTTTTTATTAATCTGGATATTTAACCCGTATATACGAGTCGATTAATTTCATGATGACTACTTATTTTATAGATAGTCTGAAGTCACCGTATTTGAACTTCTGTGATTACAAGAGGATTTTTATTTTTCATTGGATTTGAACATGTGACCTCCTGACACTTTTGATCTTTTGGAACCAAGTTCAAACCAATCAAAAATCACCCTTGTGGTTGGCTTTAAAGGTTTTTGATTTGATAAAAAAAAGTTTTGAATATAAACATTTTTGTTAATAATTAAAGATTTGAAAAATAATTACATCAAATTTTAACGTCTATTCTACTTTAACAATTTCAACATTAATTATATTATTAAAAGGAAATTACATTTTTGTTTTTATGGTTTGTTAAAATTATGATTTTTGTCTCTTTAGAAATTGTGGTTTTCGTTACTATTATTTGTAATTTATTGTTATTTTCGTTCTTATGATTTACAAATTAATGTTGTTTAGGTCCTCGTACAATTCTTGATTCCTTGTACTTAAAGGTAGAAACTAATCTAGGGATGAAAATAGTAATAAATTGCAAACGATAGAACGAAAATCGAAATTATTAACAAACATAAGGACGGGAACCGTAATTCACTTTATTATCAAAAAAATATTTTATAATTTAATCATTCGTATACACTTTATAAAAAATTATAACATATTCAACCTCATGATGGAAATATTTAAGTTATATTTGACAAATCAATTGATAAGTTAGCTGGTACCTGATAAACTAATTGATTGATATTTTTAAAAAAATAAAATTAATAATCAAATTAGATGTTATA